GCTTCTAAGTGCTCTATAAAGTCTAATGGATTTCAAACTTTTAGCTTTATTTGAAGGTGGTTTATTCTTCACTCGAACAACTCCACTATGTATTCCCTAGAGTAGTTTACTTTTCCTATTCTTTCTTGAATCATGAGTACATCAATCGAAGAATACACATTGAATTTAAAATATTATGGCTATCGCTTTAAATACCAGTTAAAACTTATATTATCCATATAAATATACAAAAATCATGGGGCTATTCCTTTGATCTATTTTGTTTGATGTGCTAAGTGAATCCTTGATTCATTTTATTTGTCATACCAAAGTTTGAGACCACATAATTTATCTTATAGTATGACTATGTATTAAATCATATAATGGAGATCTTATTAGTAGGTACCCAATCAACTTTAAAGAACTAAAAAAACTACAAATAAAAATCTACTTAATATTAAGACTTAATGATGAGGACATCGATCCAAGGTTCAAACATGTATATCGCCGGAAGCATCGCAGATCGATGGCCACGATTCAGAGCTTATATTTCTAGTTGTTTATGCATTTTATTTTTATGTCTTCCTAATATACCTTTATGTTGAGTTGAGTCATGTTGCCCTGAGGGCAATTTAGTCTTTATTTCTTCTTGTATGCTTGAGACCTATATATATGGGTCTTTTCTCTTGTAATAGCTAATGAATTTTGAATGAAAAAGTTATGTTTTGTTTCTACTTTTCTAGCATGAGTGCTTGAGAGGGAAGAGAGCTCAAGGGGAGCAATTCGCAAGGCCCACCGGTCGTTGGAAGAGTCCGCGGCTCGTGGTTAGTTCTCGATCATCGCGTTCGTATTTTCCTCCATTTTCTTCACCTACACTACAAGAATTCCCTCCTCAACCCCATTGCCGCCGCCCCTTGGGAAACCGCCTCCGACCACCACCTCATCCTCTACCGACCACCTCGCCGGCAACCTCCCCTCACCCCCTCAACCCCTTCCCTACGAAGACCAATTTTGAAATTCAAAATTTGAATTTCAAAAACTTTCCAATTTTGGAATTTCCAAATTAGGAAAGTTTTAAGTCCATTTTCATGATGAAATTCAAATTCAAACGGAATTCATCCGAATCCTTCCTAAATCTCATGTGCTAATTTGGAAGCTATTCCATTGCTCCCACATCCAATTCCCCCCCTCTAGAAGCCGCTGGCCTCATCCATGGTGGAGCCCCCTTAATACCCCCATTAAGGCATTAATGACATTTGAATTTGAAATCAATTTCAAATTACTGCGCCGACGACACGGTTGAAGACTACTTAAATCGCATTCTTCCCACGCTCATAGACGTCATCGACGAGCAATTCGAAGACTATTCGTGGACCGTCATCGGCTATTCGTCCGTGCCTCCTCCACCACCGCCAACCTTTCCGTGGCTCAAGACCATCGATGTTGCGGCCCTCCTCATGGCATCGTTAAGTGTTTTGAAGATCATCTCCCGCTAAGCCTAGTGTAGTTGAGTGATTAATCCCCAAGGTGAAAACTCTCATTATTAATTTGCGGATTGTTGGTTAATAGCTTTTGGTATTGGCGTATTGCTACTATCTTTGGTTACCTATGAGTTTTGGTTAATCTACTTGTACTCCTTCGCCTAAGCAAGTCAAAGACTAAGGTTCTTTAATGAATTTACTTGTTATTTCAATAAGTTATTGATTGAGATTACATTGTCCATAGTTCTTAAAGTTCTTAACAAGCTCCTTCGCATAATGTTTCACATCACTTAAGGAAGGCTACTCGAAGTTGACTATATTATGTTAACAATAACAAGTTTATCAATGTACCTAAAATTTTTTGAATGACCTCAAACTCAACCAACTAGTCACAGTAAATCTTTGATGACTTAAACGGGTTACAATGTTCTTTGAGGATAACAAATCACCAAAATGCACTATCAAGAATCAAGGGGTCCTAACTCAAATACATTCATTATCGACTCAATTGATCAATCATATAAGTCAAGGACCCAAGTTCGATCCTGCTATCGACTAGTTAATAATCATAAGGTCCTAGTTAGGCATTGCTTCAATGTAAATGTTAAAATATATGCTGCTCAGAAAAATCAAGATCAAACAAACCTAATTAGTTGGGGCATGCCTTGCCTACAAGGTGATGTTCTAAGGCGTACCATATGTGTTGTGTTGACAATAGGGTGAAGTTGTAAGACCTACCAATTAGGTCATCCTATCCATGACATAAGACTGAAAGACCTAGACTTGTAGATCATTCTAAATTCAAATAGCAACACCTATGACAAACTTCCCTTAAATCTTGAGTTCTAAGCCCAAGTTTATTAGACAACCCTAATGAGTGGAGGTTCAAGCCTTAATGTTTGTATCAAGGTTCCAAATGATAATTTAATCTCAATCTTTGCTTGTGGGCATTCTAATGGATGTAAGCCCCATCATGCTGCAATTAATCAATTGACGGAAAACCAACAAATCCTCTCAAATAACCATTCAACCCACCTTAGTTATATGGTAATTCCTTTTCCTTGAGTTATAAGCACCATTTATGAGCCATCCCCAATACACACACAAATAAAAGCACACAAGCACATCAAATTATGCTTAATTCTTATGTTTTAAAATGGATGTAAGCCTTGCCTTTATTAACTTGGATCGGTACTAAGCCAAAAAGGCTATTAAATCAAAAATTGGGCCTTCAAATGGATGTTAAGTCCCAACCCGATCTAAAGTTGAACTAGTTTTCAAGTTACTAACCTCACCAATCAAAATCAAATCCATCAATTAAAAAACACAACCCAAAAATCCCACGTGTCTTAAACAATTTTATTTGATTCAAGCAACAACTTATGAATAACTGATGGTTAGGAGATGCCTCTTGACCATCATTTCAATTACGTCTAAATCACAATTGACCATATTGCGTGCTTTCAAACTATTTAGTAAAATTGATATGACTAAATTTTTGCTAGTAAACGAGTAGACATCGACCTCTGAAAGGGCTTTGGGCACACCCTTACATTTACATATTCTCTGGTTTGTGTGGGACACTTACAAAGAGGCAACCCATAATTGCTAATTTGGCTCTTTAGATTTTATGATTCAAATTTCATAGATTTTGATAAATTGGGTCCATTGATATACTTAGGATGATGAAATTTTGAGATCTTAATTGAATTTACCTCCATCTCCCAATCATTCCCCACTTATTAAATTCATATTTAACTATCAAGTTTGAACCTTTGTAATCGAAAGCACTCTCTGGTGAGCAAATGTGCCAATAACATGGTGATTTGCACCCATTGGAAGTTAGGGGAAAATCTGATTAAAACAAATTTAATTTAACTTAAGGAGAGCTGCTTCCTTGTTTTATCTCACGTACATCAAGAAGGTTCGAGGGTAGATTTGACCAATTTAGATATCATGTTTTGCTCCTATGGTTATCTTTTTCTAGATGGTTAAACTAGATGCTGAATTGAATAGAATCCAATAGTTTTTGTTGGCAAAAGGAAGCCTTTGATTTTCTTGTAGGCAAAGACAAAGCAATTCAAATTAATTGGTTACTATATAGGTCATTGCATCATCATTAGCCTTAACCTTAATGTTTTAAGATTACTCATCCTCAAATTTCATTCATTTGTGTTGATTGTTTCATGAGGTATAGTAACTCTATACTACATAAGCCTTTATAATAACTTCTAAGCATTTACTTTGGGCCTTTTTTCATTGTATTCCATTCATGTTAATATTTTGTGCTCACCTTATTAGTGCAACTATCACACTCCATCACATATATTAAAATCATATAAGCTTATTTTTCATTATTCATCTTCAATAAGTGTCCATCCATCTTCCTAATATAACCATTTCTAACTCTATAGCTAGTAATTTTACCATTGTTAACATTCTTGATTTTCTCGCTTGTTTTTTCCTTTTTAAGTGAACATTTTTTGTCAGCACTTGAATCTATATAACTTAGTTGTTTAAAAGAAAATTTAGAAAGTCTACCTTCAAATCTCGAGAACATTCTCTTACACATAATAGTCTTGTGTTGCTTACTTGCTTCTTCGTTTAAACTATCATAATTAACTCTAGCATTTATGTGTTTTATCTTTATTCACACTCTTTAGTATACAAAAAATTGAGGTGGTTAAATTTAACATTTTTAGGGATCGCTGATATTAACATGATATTGTTAAGCCTACGGTCCATATTACTCTCCCCCAAGTCCCAACATATAATTTACCACTCAAGATAAGCTTGATTTCCTATTTAACATAATCCTGAAGATATATAATTGGAGGATACACAGCTAAAATATTAAGATTTTTAATTTTATAATTGTTGAGGGGAGTTATGTCTACTTTTGATATGAGATAAGCAGTTCAATTTGGTTTCTCATTGGCATCTAAAACCTTTACTTTTACCTGCATACTTTTTGTTTACGATTATTTGGACGTTTATTTGGGTGTCATATTTGAATACCAAATAACGTGAGTTACAATGTATCAGCTAGAATTTTCAGGGAGAACATGGATTGTTTAGTCAACTTGTAGTTTTAGAAATATTGCTAATTGATTGATGACATCGATTTAGCTATGTGGGTTGTGCCCAGGGAAGGCTACCAAGCTGAAACCTCTTAGATACACTAAAGCCTAATCCATCTCAATCGTCTCTAGTGGAAAATGCTATATTTGTTGCTGGAGTCATAGTACTGTTCCTAAGTTGGGATATGCCTTGCTATTTACATGATGGAAAGTAATTATGACATGATATAAAAGTTTCTTGCTTATAGAAGAAATTTCAGTATAATACTTGACATATATGATAAAAACATGTATTCTTCGTGGGATTGTTTTCTTTAGAAATAGCACCTTTAAGATAGGTTTTTGTATGCAACTATGTCATATATATTTCCATCTTTGTGGTATTTTCTCGTGATTGAAAACTTCATTGATACCAGAAGTGTTCACCTTCATTTATTCTCGAACTCTTTGTTTTTTACAGGCCAATCTCTGGATTATCATTTTTAGCTACGTTGGGAACTACTTCTGGACTCATTATTTTTTCACGGTACTTGGAGCTTCATATACTTTTCCATCATGGAAAATGAACAATGTAAGGGGTTTTTCTTACATGAATTGTTATTTGACCTTCTGACTTTCTTTTTTCAAGGAAGCAGCTATGTTTGCTTCATATGTGAACCATAGGAAGGTGAAATTTGAAGATAATAGTTAAACATCATGGTGTTTGTTCTATTTTCATTTTGATACGCATAATTGTGTTCTCTGCAATGCTCACTTAACTGTTGTCAAGGGAGGGATTTGAGTGGTGAGGACAAATCAGCTTTTGTTCCTGAACGCACAACCAAAGATTACCTTTCAATTCCACTGATGTCTGCGTAGCTTGATATAATGGAACTAAACCTTTTTTATCCCCGTTTGTGTAAAAAAAAAAAAAAGGCTGAGAGATGTTGAGCAGAGTTGAGCCCATTTATTTTATAGTATTGCCCTTTCATGATTTTTTTTTTTTTGGGTAAACCAGGGGCCAAAGCCCATAAATTAGATAACAGAGTTTAAATTACAAGAACCTGAGATAGCAAAACGTAGATGAAAAACAAAATTATACACAAAGACAACATTAAGCAAAGAAGATGCTGGCAAAACAAAGACTCAGAAAAAAGGCCAAAAACAGATCCTCCAGAATAGACATGGAGAGCACATAATGCCCAGGCGGTGGCTTTGGTTGCCAGCCTCGAGTCCCACAGCAAACCACAAATAGAGCAGCCCTCTCAAAGCCTCCAGCCTGCATAGTATAAAGTCATGGTTTAGCCAGGTTGCCCCGAAGGCCATCCATGGCATCGAAATATTGTCCTTGCTCATCATCGTCTGATTGCACAGCAGATCCCTCCAATGCCAAATGTTGTCTTTGAAGTATACCCGAGAAATGATTGGCTGAATTTCCACAAGAAACTGGATAAAGCCAACAGCAAATTGGACAAAATCCCAAAAATTATCTTCCCAGGTCTGAAATGTGAAGTATAACCCAAAATTTAGCCAGAAATTGCTCCAGCCGCCACCATAATTTTTCCATCCCAAAAAGGTCCACCCAAAAACCTCCCATAAGATTCCAGCAGAAGGGACGAAATAATGAGGGAGCAAAAAGAAATGCTTTGAATAACACCATCTTCCAATAGACCGAACAGCCAGCATAATCCTCCAGTCATCCCAGAATTTCTTTAAAATGCTCTTTAATAGAGTCATAATGCCTCCAATTTTTAACTTTAGCCACAATAGCAAAAATAATAACTCTTTTAAGCTCATCCGGGGATCTCCAGACCGCAGAAAATCGTCTGTTGTTTCTTTCTCTCCACAGGTAATACACCAAAACAGCCACCATAAAATAACAGAAATTTTTATCAGCTCTAGTGAAGTTACGGTAGCTCCCAAAGCTATCAAATACTTGTATCAGATTTGGCCTCAAATAAAATTTCCCCAAATGAGGAAAAAGAGCAATGAGAAGAGAAAAAGGGTAATCACATTCAAAATAAACGTGAGAATGCGTTTCAAAGTTGCCGCGACAAAAAGAGCATTCAGGGTTAGCTGGGATACCCCTCAAATTTAACAAATCAGCCATCTTAAGTTTTCTTTTAACAGCCATCCAAGAGAAAGAGGCATACCGAAGAGCAAAACCTTTATGCCAAATAAACTTAAACCAAGAAACATCCTCTAAATTGGAATGAAAATACTCAGAAAAATGTTTGTTGGATGGGTTGGGAGTAATGTTCCGAGAATTCCAGGACAGCACAGGACATTCCCCCAAAATCACTTTACTGTTGATAATAAGCTTAACCGATTCCGGAATGAACTCCGGCAGAGTCCAACAGTTATGAGCAATATAATCCCCAACCCAATGATGGGAGTTACAATTAAGATCCATCAAATCAGCCACAGTGCTATTGTTACACCAGGGATCCCAAAAGAACGAAAGTTTGGAGTTTTTATGAACCGAGAAAGAAACAACAGGCTTGATAGCCACCGCAGTTTTGCAAAACAATTTCCAAAATTTAGAAGCAGTATGAGGAGGAGGCTTCCAAGGGGAGTGAAACTTCTCCCTGAACCAAGAGCCGATTAAAGAGCTATGATTATTTATTCTAAAAATGAAGGAGCAAGCCATATTGTAATAAAGAGAGTCAAAAGATGCTAGCCCCAGACCACCCTTTCTCATAGGCATAGTAACCGACCTCCAAGAGATAATGTGCATTTTTTTATCCAAAGTATTCCCAAAGAAAAGAAACTTGGAGCAAATTCTAGACAAAAATTTACAACAAACTTTAGGTATGATTGCTCCTCTAATCCAGTACGCAATCGTACTAGCAATAGTGAATTTGAGGTATTGCACACGACCTGCAAAAGAAAGGAATTTAACTTTCCAACCCGCAAGAAGAGTAGAAATTCTACTGAGGAGGGGTTGGAAGTGAGAGAATTTGAGGTTGTAAGAGGAAATTGGGATTCCCAAATATGTAAGGTTGCGTTCAACATGATTAATCCCCAGAATATCAGTAATTTGCTGCACATCAATAGAATTCTTCGAGAAAATAATGCTGCTTTTAGTAGGATTAATGACAAGACCCGAAGACTTAGAGAAGTGATCAAGAACATCAACCAGAGCTCTTGCATTATCCACAGTGGCTAAACCAAACACCAAAAGATCATCAGCATACATTAGGTGGCTAGCCTTAAAAATTTGATGCTGCATCCCCAAAAAAGAGTGATTCTCCCTGCAATCCAAGCTAGAGGAAAGGCCATCCATAACAATGCAGAAGAGGAGGGGGGAAAGAGGACAACCTTGCCTCAATCCAGAAGAAGATTTAAAGAACCCTTCCAACGAACCATTCAGACAGATAGAAAAGTAAACATCAGTAATGCAAGCATTAATCCAAGAGATAAATAAACTAGGGAACCCCTTCTGCTTAAGCCTGTTGATCAAAAAAGGACGAGAGACCGAATCGAAAGCTTTTTTAATGTCCACCTTGGCACAAAAATAATTTTTATGCCTTTTGAATTCTCTTAACAGTTCGGAAGCAAGAATGATATTGTCAGTAGAGCATCTCTTGGTAATAAAACCCGATTGGCTTTCATGAATGATAAAAGGAAGAATACTTTTCAACCTATTAGCTAAAATCTTAGCTACAATTTTATAGAACACATTGCATAAAGAGATTGGACGGAAATCAGAGATGGAGTTGGAATGAGTACCCTTAGGAATGAGAGTAATAGCCGTTGCTTTAGCACCTTTAGGCATCTGCCCAGAAGAGAAAAAGTGCTTGATAGCTCTGCATAAGATAAAACCAGATAAATGCCAAGTTTTTTGATAGAAGCCAAAGGAGAAACCGTCCGGACCCGGAGCAGAAGAAGGCACCCCTTCAAACGCAACCCTTTTAATCTCATCATTAGAAACCGGCAACACCAGGCCCTCCAAAAGATGAGAAGGAACCAAATTACCTACAGGCAGATTATGAGAGCTTTCAAAGATCGGAGTAGGAGCATTGAAGAGATTCTGGAAGTGATTAATAAGAGCTTTTGAAATGTCATCATGAGAAGAAAGAACCCCATCGGGGGTAGTAAGCTCTTTAATCACATTTCTGTTCTTCCTTGACTTGATCTTGGCATAAAGAAAACCAAGATCATCCTCACCTTGGGTTAGCCAGTAGGCTTTAGCCCGTTGAGAAATCCATGAGTACCAAGCAGCTTGAAACATAGCCAACTTCTCACTTGTTTGCTTAAGATGAGAGTTCAAAACAGAATTCAAAGGATCCTTTTGAATATCAGTGAGGCAATTGAAATGGGCATTTTTTAACTCAAGAATACTGTTAGAAATAAAGTTAGAAGAATTCCAGGTCTTCCCCCTAATATCATTTTTAAGAGATCTCAAGCAGTCATAGAAGACCGCAATAGGGCTAGCAATAACCGGTTTATCAAATGCTCTTTGAGTTAAGTCCCCAAACTCATCAAAATTGGTCAAAAAGTCTTTAAACATGAATCTAGAGGCAGATTTCCTGAAAAGAGAAGCATTAAGAATCAGTGGAGCATGATCAAAACCAGAAAAAGTGTCCACTTTATAAAATGCCGTAGGAAAGGAGTCCAGGAAGGCAGAATTGGTCAACATTCTGTCCAACTTGATATGGATATGATCATCACTCCTTTGATTAAACCAAGTGAAAAATAACCCAACAGAAGCAAGGTCTTGCAATCCAACATCAAAAACAAAATTGTTAAGTTCACCCAATCTATCATTAGCAACTGGAATACCACCAGCTTTTTCCCCACCAAACCTAAAACAATTGAAGTCACCCATAATAATCCACGGAGAGTTCAAATTAGAAGAAATGTTGAGAAGATTTTTCCATAACACTTTCCTCTCTTCCACAGTATTGGCAGCATAGACAACCGACATGTAGAAAGGAGGAAAGGAACCAGCACCAACCAGACCGTGGATCAGTTGTGAAGAGGAGAAAGATGGAGTAAAATTCACGTGAGCATCATCCCATTTAACCCAAATTCTACCAGGCGTAGAATGGTTAAATTTATCACAGCATTTCTCATTCTCAAACAAGGAATGAGAGAAGGAGAACCAAGGGTCAGAAACAGAAGAGAGAGTAACCTTAGCTTCCAAAACACAAAGAAGCTTAATGTTGTGGACAGCAATGAGATCCTTACAATACTTGACTTTGATGGGATTGTTAAATCCCCGTACATTCCAAGCAGCAATAGGAGGCATGGACATGATTATTTGTAAGGTTTGGCCTTTTTGGCCGTCTTAGGTTTGGACTTTCCTTTTTTGGATGGTGATTTAGACTGAATAGAGACCTTGGTAGAGATAGAAGAAGTAGCAGGAGAGCCTTTAAAATTTATCTGTTTTGCCGAGATGTTCCCTTCCATATTTTGGGAGGAAGAGAAATCCTCTTCACAAATGTGATTACCATCAGGATTCTCAACCCGAGTGACCTCAGCAATAGGTTCCTCTACAGGAAGAGAGCCAAAGCTATTAGCAAGAATAACCATAGGCGGTAACAAATTGGCATGGTTACTATGGAACGTAGAAGATGAGGAAGCAGCTTGAGGAATGTTGAGGTTGGGCAAAGGAGGGTTAGTTAGAATAGGGTCGGATGGTAAAGTTTTAGAGCAATTGACAAGAGGAGGATCAAGTGCTGAAGGCGTTGAGGTCACGGCAATATCAGCCGTAGGAGGTAGAACAGTTTGGACATTAGAGTCAGAAGAATGGAGGATCAACTGAGCCGAAGGGGGTAAAGAGGGGGCATTAGGTTTGCTACGAGAAGGAGGCCTGTGAGATTTAGTTGGATTGCGGCTTTTGCTTCTACCCCTAAAAACAGCTTTAGGAGGAAGAGTCGGCTTAGGGGAAGGGTTTTTGGGACAAAGCGCAAAATTGTGAACCAGCGATCCACAACCCTCACATTTACTAGGTTTCCAGTCATACACAACCGTGAGATTAAGATCCACTCCATCAATTTCCATCGGAATAATCTCCGGCAGTTCCGAATCTTTATCCACTTTGACACAAATTCTCACAAAGGTAAGTCTAGTTCTCTTAGCAGTCAAAGTATCAACATATAGAGGTTCACCAACGAAACTAGCAATTTTTGAAATACCTGTCGGAGTCCAGAGGGCAAGAGGTAGATTGAGCACCTTAATCCACAAGGGAATCGAAGCAGACTCATCTCTCCTAGGCTGAAATTTGGGATTCCAGCGCTGCAGGATGAAGGATCTTCCGAGGAGGAACCACGGACCACCCGACCACACCAAGTCGTAATCTTCCACCGCAGTAAACTTCAACAAGAAGAAGTCGTCGGCCAAGGAGAGAAGAGAAAGCGATCCTTTCAATTTCCACACCTTTTCCATCGACGCCAGAAGCCTTTCGTAATATGGGCGAGGACCCAAGGAATAACCAACAAGGGAAAAATTCCAAATCTCTTTTCCTTCATTAAGCTCATTAGGAACAAATGAAAGCTTTTTAGCAGGTTTAACTAAGGTCAAAGGCCAATCATCGCGAGAAGAGGAGGGCGCCGCAAGATTGCTAGCATAGGAGATCGGGGGAAGAATCGGTGAAGCCCCAAGCAGGGAAGAACCATTTAGTGGCGGAAAATCAGATGGAAGGAGCGCCATTCCGGCCGGAGGCCGGAGCAGAGGAGGAAAAACACAACGCCTCCAAAACAAGCGAAACCCTAGCGGAGCTTCAGTCTCCAACTCAGATGTTTTGTTTTATTAATTACCCCCTTTCATGATTAGAACAACAGGTTTTACATAAATGTATGCTTATATATATATATCCATGTACATGATATTTTTTACTCATCTCATATAATAAGTGTAGTTATCTTTCATATACTCATGCAAAGAAGATTTAAACCTAACCTGCTACATATCTTTGTGCACTATGGTATGAGTTTTGCTTTTGAATTCCTTTATGTATCTTATGTTGACGGCAATGATGATGATAGAATGAGGCAGGAAGTTTCTTCCAGTTTGATTGCGTTTATTTCATAGTTTATATATGAAGATCAGGATGTGTTAAAACTTGACTAGAGTTGGTTATATCCTAAACTAACATGTGTTTTTTTTTATTTGGTGTGATAGGTACCTCATACAACATTTCTTCTCACTCATGTTTGCTTCCTATTTTACCACATGGTATCAAATTTAACACTCCGTAGACTCCGCCACTCTATCACAGATTTGCCACCATCAATTCGGTTTGTCACTGAAGCTGCGTGGATTTTAGCCCTGTCTTATTTCATAGCATACTTGGAGACGTTGGCTATTTCAAATGTATGTCTTAGCATTTTCATTCCATTTCTTTCATGATGTTCTGTAATCCATTCCATTATTTTAAATGTTGAGAAGCTTTTGTTATATAATATTTTCTAATGGATAGGTAGTGAGATTTTGAAAATATTTCCTGTATCTTTTTGTCTTGTAAACTATGATGATTTTGAACCGTCCATGGAATTTGACTTGGCTTGCTGCATCTTAAAGATTGACGTTACTGCTAATTTTGCCAGTTCCCTATAATGTGCTAAAAGATACTGATGGCTTCAGTGGTATCAGAAATAGTAAGGTATTATTATACTAATCCGTCAGTTTGATTAGCTGGTTAGGGCTGTTTCAATTAATATCCTAATTATTAGTGTAGCGATCATTTCAAAATTATCTAGCAATGATATATAAGATAAAACATGTTGAAACATTAGATTGAACGTGATGCGGACATCCAACCGTCCATGCCTATCCGAGGAGGAGCTAAGATTAACGGCCGTGATCATCCTATGTTATTTTAAATTTTTATTTGTAATTTTTATTTTAATTATGCATTTTCCGATTTTACCCTTACTTAAGGGTCTAATCTTATGTAAGCCTTACGGGCATGATCGTCTTATTGTAGTTTTTTTTTTAAATTTATGAGGCCTATATATAGAGGCCCTTACCAGTGTATTGGTATGATGGATTATTAAGAAAATATATTTGTTTTGCACTTTTGTTCTTTGGGAGGACGTTAGTGGAAATCCCTATGGAGGGAATTGTGGTTTCCATCAGCCGCATGATGGGTCCGGGCTCGTGGCTTGAAGTCCCTTGGTGAAGGGCATCGTATCAACCGTCAGTCTTCGAAAGAGTCAAAGGCTCGTGTTTCTATCTCTTTTTTCTTTGTTTTGTTTTTCCTTATTTCCTTAAACCACCACCTCCTCAAGCCCTTCATCAAGGCGCCGATCTTCTCACCTCCATAACCTCCACACCATCGGCCTACACTATCCCCTCTCTTCCTCCTCCCTCCCCATGGCCGAAATCCACCATGGCTTCCCCCAACCGCCGGCCACCTCACTCTTGCCCTCTTGATGATGATTTTAATCATCATTAACAATTACCTTAATTAGTCCACTTATTTCGGGAGAGAATTTAATCTAATTTGAAAATCAAATTTGGATTTCAAATACTTTCCTAAATTAGCATTTTCAAATTATGAAAGTTTTCAATTTGAGTCTAATTTAATATTAAATTAAAATTGAATTATTTATTCTCTTCCCTAAAGTGAGGATTTAATAACCCTAATTCCCAATTAATTTTTTTAATTGATTACCCTCCTTGGTAATTAATTTTAAAGAGGATTTAATAACCCTAATTCCCCTAACTCATATTTGAATTTCAAATTCTTTTCCCACATTTAATTAAATCTAAAATTAATTTCATATTGTATACTCTTTCCATAACCCCAAACCTAGACCCCACAAACCCTAATTCCCTCCACACTTGGCCGGCCCTCTTGCCTTCCCACCTTCTTGGTATTCCTCTCATCCCATGGGACCTCTTGCATGAAAACAAATCAAGCATCTTCCCTCCGGACGTTGGTGGATCATCGGCGTCTACACAGCCCCTCCTTCGGCTAACTTTCGTTGGATCTCTACCCTGGCTTCTTCTTCTTCGTGGTGGCATCTTCCGGATTGTGGTGATTCTTCTTCCGCTAACCCTTAAAGAATGTGAGTGAGGGAAACTCGAGGTGAATTCTCTCTTTGTTACATGGTGAATTGTTCGTTTGTTGCACTACTTGTTTTCATTATAATCTTTATATTTTGAGATCTTGTCTTTTATTGTGTGGTTACTTACCTTATCAATTTAAACAATTTTAAATTTGTAAAATCTTTTCAAAGTGAAACATTAAGTTTAAGTTGCGACGCCTAATTCAATTGTTATAAATTTCTATGTGCAATTCCTATGTGGTTTCACATCAGAACATGTTGGCATATATTATCCTTACATAATATTGTTTTGATTGTATTTATTGTTTAGAATGTGATGCTGCCTTTAACTTTTAGTAAGAATGTCTTAATACACTATCAGTTAAGTTGCTAGTTATATCTGCCCATGGTATTCTGGAAATCTCAATGTGAACCAGTAATACCTACATGCTTAAAATTCATGGATTTGATTAACTTGCATGATAATTAGGTGAATTGAATATATTTGGAACATATGATTAGCTTACATGTGTTGCTAGTGAATTTGTTATTGTATGACATTTACTAATCTTTTATGGTGGTCTAGAAATTTCTTATTCCATAAAGGAAAACAGATTCTTAGTGCCCTTATTATTGTATCTTCACACATTTTTTGTATTGAGCGTCTGTACTTTTTATAGGTCTATTGTAGAACACTTCCCGTTACAAGTACTGCTATCCTTAGAATTTTTTTTTGCCGTAATGATGGTACCAAATAACATGATGTAGAAGTATCTCCGAGTTCGATGATGATGCACCACAAAATTGTCATCAAATCAAAAATGAAAGTAACCACAAAAAGAAATCAAGATTTATTTGATTTGGCTTCAATGAAGATTGTCCATAGGAGAGGAAGGAGGATCCAATATACTAGAAAAACATATAAGCTGCAGTCAGCGTACAAATTGTTTCACGACTAGGCCCGAAGGTTCGAATTAATGGGGCGACAACAAATGATGAGACAGTTTATTAAATTTTGAATCACTAACTAGTTCCAATACACATAAAGCCATAAACTTCAAAATTTTAAAATCAAATGCTATAAATATCTTTCTCATGGAGCATCGCACCTACGAGAACATTCTCTTCTATTCTACTCATTTTAAGCTTTTGAATAAATCATGTGTTCATTCATAAATATAGAGTGAGTCATAAAAGAACTCAGTGAACATATCATGTTTTTATATTATAGTAACACAAGCTATTGAGAATAATATGCATGCTCAATTTAATCATAAAAAATTTCTAAAAAAATTATTTTAAACGTATCCATCAATATTATGCATATTTTATATATTTATCATTTTTTTGTAAATAGTACAACCGTTACAGGATACACCGTCTAAAATAGTACTAATGAAAGTACTTGATGTAGAACCAAGCTAGCCATGATTGGACAATTCAAAATTTGAAATTTAATTTCAGATTTAAATGTTTGGAGAGGAGGGAAAAGTTTGAATTTGAATATTCTCCACGTGGGCCGACCCCTTGATGGGGATTTAATGCGGTGATTTAGAGAGGTTGCTATGTTTGAAAATTTAAATTAGGAAAGGAGATTTAAAGTATCTCCTTTTCAAAATTTAAATTAATTTGAATGGTGAGGTCTTTCCTAATTTAACCCATCTATTTTCGGAAACATAATTTTAAATTTTAAAGTATTAAAAATTTGATTTGAGAACTTTGATTTTGAATTGGGAGGGAAGCAAATTCAAAATTTTTGAAATTAATTTCAATCGAAAGGGTGGAGGTAATTGGGGAATTGATGGTTTAATTGTGGGAGGGTTAATGGGTCTCCTAATTAGAGGAGAGAGAGGAAGAGGGAGAGGCCAAGAGGGGAAGGGGAGGGGCCCACATGCATTAAAGAATATTGGAGGAGATTAGGAGACTTAATTGAGTTTCCAATCTAAGTAAATTTAAATTAGGAAAGATAATTCAATACAAATTATCTCTCCAATTTAAATTCAAATTTAAAAGGCTTTGATTGGAGGGACTTTCTTAATATAAATCATCATATTTTATGAAAGAAAATTTATTCTTCCTAATTTAAAACGTGTTATTAATGGAAAGCATCAATTTGGGGATTCGAAATTTGGAGGCAAACGAGGGATATTGTGGCCGGCGGCTTGGAGAAGGGGAAGAGTTTTAGGATTTGGGCAGGCCACTAGAAAGAGGAGGGGTTTTGAACAGGCGGTTGGGAGGAGGAGAGGAGTGATTTTGGGTGTGGGGATTCAACCAAGAGAGAGAAGAGAGGGCGGGGTTCGGCCTAGGGCTAAGGTGGGGAATTTTGGCCAAGGGAGGGAGAGGGGAGGAGGCAGCTGGCGCCTAGGGAGGAAGGAGGGGAAGTGGCAGAAAAGATAAACTACGAGCCCGGACGCTTCCTGCGATTGATGAGTAATGCTTTTCCCTTACCTAGGGACTTCAAACCACGAGCCCAGACGCTTACTGTGGCTGGTGGGTAGTATGTTTCCCGCACATAGGGACTTCAACTCTAATAAAAATTCTGAAAGCTCTTAAGAACAAGATTGCATAAATTTTCTTCTTAATAATCATCCATCCCCTCAAAAGAAAAGGAGGGGCTATAAATAGTCAAAATTCAATAATAAGGAAATGACAAAAGTGCCCCTGGGATCACATAGGCCTACTACCTCAAGTGAGGGTAAAATTGAAAAAATGTATAAATAAATCAAAATATAAATAATTACTCAAAATAAAGTGGTACAATCATGACCATCGATCTTCGTCTCCTCATCTGATAAACTTTCACGGTCGGATATCCTCATCAGTACTCCTTTTCTATTTATTTATTTTTTTTTTCATTTACGTGTATGGGTACATTGCTCTCTTAGCCAATACTATAATTGGGTGTGTTTGATGGGGGCGGTGGAGTAATCTAAAGAATTGCGAAAATGATTTAGGGTTCTATCAATCCCTAAACAATGCTTAGATTTTTTTTTATATAAAAATAATAAAAATTCTACTTAATATATGTAAGTACATGTGTCAAATCAAGTAATATAATAATAGACTAGAGTATCGATCCCATGAGGAAGAATGTTTACTTGCAAATACTAGTACTGTTTAACTATAACAATTATCCTACTCAATTAAAATAAGTTTTGATAGAGATTCAATCACTATTTTTAAAATAAAAAATAATTAAATAAATTACTATTTGGATAAATTATTTTGAATTGATGGATGTAAATATAATATATTTCATAGTGCTTATATTTAATATTAATGTTATTCAAAGCATATGCATCATCGACCGCTCAGCCAAGCATGAAGAGACAAATGACAAATTAAACTTTTCCAATCTCAATATCACTCTAAACTCCCATAGTCTGTCACCTTATGAAAATCTTAGAAGAGTAAGTAAAGTGTGTACTATTAAAATCCTCTTATAACAATTAATCTCTATAAATTTGATACATGATAAACACTATGCCTATGATTGCATCATACCAATCCAACATACATGGTTGTGCCTACTTTCTTATTCCTAGGCTCCACATTACACCTGATATTAACTACACATATATCCACTATGTGTATTAAATGAAGACCTGGTATATTGGAAGTATCATGAAATAATTGATGAAGAGAATTCATTAGCATTCCATATTTTATGTACACCATCAATCAAAAACTAAAAAATTTAGTCATACATGAAGAACAAGTGAAGCATATTCATTTTCATTAATTGCACAAAAGAAGGAAAGTACATAAGAAAAGATATCATCGGAAGTTCAATGATCTCCTTCACACTCCTTGAATTTACATAATTGTTTCTACAAATATAAAGCCAAACACTATAATGGAATGTATCTTCTACTTCTCTGAATTTCCTTAGTTGTTACTCTTAAGGAAAAATAGAGAAGCACTATAAAGACTGAAATTAAACAAGTGACTGAACTCCTATACTAGCATTACAAATGGACTATTTATAGAAAAACGCATAAAACGGATTCTGGCGCCGCGACGCTAAAGGGTTTCCTCTACTGCTGCGCTTGCTGGCATGGACCCACTGTTTAATGAGTCAACGTGTCGCTTTGATGACAAATTGTGACTTGAATAGTTACAACTGTAGCGTCGTGGCGCAACTGACAGCTGTGTGCTGCGTCGTCCACGTGGCTCTCCCGTGACTTAGTGGCACTGGAATTTGGCGCCATGGTGCTGTGCATACAGAGACTGGGCTTTGCCTCGCTGACTCCTCCATCGCTACAACGATGGGATAGTTGGCTAGGCTTTGCGGTGCTGACTCCTCCGATGTTGCAACGCTGTCAAATAGAGAATGGGTCTGTCATGTCTATATTTGGTGCTCCGTCAGTGTCAATGATGGCGTCACGGCTGTATTGAATCTGACGCCGTGGCACTATAGTACTATACCATACTTGAAAGTTTTGTCCATTTCCAATTTTTTCTTGCACTAACACAACTAAAACACTACATTTTCACTGATAAATTAACATATAAACCATAACATTATTTACACTTATTAGTACTACATTAGTTAACATTAGGGGTGTAAGTGAGCTGAGCTACTTACGAGCTGGCTCGAGCTCGACTCATTTATAGGCTCGCGAGCTGGGCTTATCAAGCTCACGAGTCGAGCTCGAGTTCGAGCTTGATGAGGCTCGGCTTGTGAGTCGTCTCAAATATTTTTTAAGATTTTTTTAAAAATAAAATAATTAATATTTTTATTAAATTTAAATCTTAAAAGAAAAGTTGTTGTAAGTTTAAGAAAAATGTTAAAGCTGTACCTATAGCCTACATTGCAATAGTTTTCAAAATTATAATATTAAAGCTACAGTTGTTTTATCCACCAGAAAAAGTAAAACATCTTTTTTAATATATATTAAAGCTGCAAACCTGCAACAGTGTCCAAAAAAATGCAAGATAACTTTTGTTATCCACAGGATGAAGTAATGGTTCGTCTATTTTGTATCTATTTTGTTGCATGCGGACAGACGAGTGCCTCAAGGACTCTGCCCCTCTGCAATGTTGATGGCCCGCTGGTTCAGGAATTGGGTGAAAAAATGGCGAATGGTGGGCGGAAAACTTAAATCGAGCGGCTCGACGAGCGGCTCGAAGGATTATTTCGGTGTCTTGAGTCGAGCTTGAGCTCAATTTTTGAGCTTGACTCAAGTTCGAGCTCGGTATTTGACTCACGAGTCGAACTCTAACAACTCCTGACTCGCGCTCGACTTGACTCGTTTACACCTCTATCCTCTAATCAACATGTACATGCAAACAGATCTATCTTAACCAATTCATTCATATAACATTCATTTATTTTTTATGAAAAAAAATGAATCACAACATATCACTTATCATCCATGCCAGTATGAACAATCATTGAATATGGGAAAATAAAAATATGTTTTAGCTTGCAATAATAACTAAATAAATAATATCTTTCCATGCTTTTGATTTAGAAGAAAATAAAATCATTATTGTAATTAAAAGACATAAGTACTCACGTTGATTCATATTTTTTAAAGTTCCGCTCTCACTCCTTACTTTGATGTCGATAAGTTTAACACCTTTAAAATTATTTGCAAACTCTCTTATTAAAGTTTTTAAATATTAGTTAACATCAGATAAATTTCTAATTTAATTATCATATGTGATTGAGTTTTAAATTTTATATATATTCATATCTCTATATTTATCACTAAAATTAAATGTGATATTCATAACCTAATTATTAAATAATCTTTTAAATAAACTTCTATTCTTTTACTTACCCTCTCCTCTTATAAATCTATTTTATTATTATTTTAATTAATTTACAATTTATTTCCTATAAATATATTGAACTTGCATGATGAAATTGGCTTATAAATCATTAATTATTTCAATAATTTACCTTAAAATCTTATTATCATGCTAAATTAAATTTAATTTCATAAATAAATTTAATGGCATTTCCAAATTCTAATTAATTTTGAGATATTCTTGATTCGCTTCATCCAGTTAAGCCAAACGAACGAAAGGAACGAACAAAGGATCGAAGCCTACCGGTGAGAAGAACACGAGCCAATTTCTATTAAATTTATATAATATGGTTGGAGACCATTTTGGTCCTTCATAAAGAATCAAACGACTATTTTAATCCTTTTCTCGTTATACATATGTGGCATTATATATATTCTATACAATAACAACAATGATAACAAGCCTTTATCCCACTACGTGTGGTCGGCAACACGAATACTTTTTTCTCCATTGTGTCTTGTTAAGAGTCAAATTCTCATTTAAATTTAATTAAAAAAAATGTCATTTTTAATACTTTTTAGTTTTTAACCAAGTCTTTTTAGATCTGCATCTACCTTTCTTAGCATTGGCCAAATTTAAAATATCTACTTTCCTAACTAGGTCATTGGAATGCCGACGTTTATGAGACCAAATCATCTAAGGCGACTCTCTCTAATCTTATCTGCCATTGGAGCTACTCCAACATTTTCACTTTTATACTTGTTTAGTATTTTGTCTCTAAGTGTAAAGCCACTCATCCACCCGAGTATCCTCATCTTTGTAACACTTAGCATAATTTTATGCTTTCTCTTTTAATGGTCGCTATACATGTTATATATTTGATGTAAGTAGTCATTTTGAGTTATACTTCAAGTTGAATTAATCTAAATTAGAGCAAGTTGGGGCAAACTTAAAATTAATTTCAATCCTTGAGTCGAGTCGATTTTGAGTCAAGTTATATTTAAAGCTTATTTCGAGTGTATCTTGAGTTTCTAGCTTTTTTTAGCAAGTCTTATTGAAAAGATTTGCACATGTACGCTAAAGGGTTGAAAAATAAAAATACACCCTTATAACATGCAAAGATAAGATAAGTAATTCTCAAGGATTATGTCTGAAAATTGTTAGTTTAATGGTAATATTGGATATAAGTTATGGAAAATGATTTACATTGAATAATTTCAACTCCTCAAATGACACTTGGTAGTGAATGGATATTGAGGATTCATAAAGCCAACCCCAAATTGTTGGGATAAATCTAATCCTGCTGATGATACTATAGTTAGCATTATTTAAACTGAAAGGACAGTGAATCTCTTCTATCTTAAACCTTTTTCTGTTATTTTATTTTGTATGATTGGTAATTCGATTTGATTATGCTTGATTTCATAAGCTTATCTGATACGCACATTAAGATCCTTCAATTGTTCTGAATGTTGCAGTTTCCTTATTATGACTTTGTTGACCGGGACTCAATGTACAAAATTGGATCGGTATTTTATGCTATTTATTTTCTGGTCAGCTTTCCCATGTTTGCAAGGTAAGTGGTTGAATTTTATGGATGTCATTATTGTTATTATTGACATTATCCAAGAATTTAAGGAATTATGTATGCTTATGAAGTGTTGTCTTTAGAATGTCATCTTTTTGGGTGTTGTCTACTCTACTGTTAATTGTAAAGACAGTAAAGTATCAATGAAATTCTAGAGGTTAGATGTAGTCACCGTTGTGGCAAATGGGAAGGTTTTCAGCAGTTTACTTACTGTTTTAGAATGGGGATCTTACTGTTTTAGAATGGGGATCAAACGGTCAAGGGAGACGCAGGTGCTGCTTCTTAGGACACTATTTTGACGTGTGCTTTTGGTCTTTTGCTTGAATGTGTTTTGAAGTTTTATTCTTGTGTCGAGTTTTCGTGAGTCAGGGCGGTGCTGGAATTAGTCTGAATTAGGCCAGTGCAAGTCAGTTTGAACTGGTTACTTGTTCAAATTAGCATTATCATCATTACCCTTTAATAACTAATTTGAAGTAATTTTACATAATAAATCAACAACGGCGAACCTCGATATCGAGCATTGAAGTTAGTAACTTTAATAATAGAATACCTTAGAAGTAGAACAAATATTTGCATTAAAAGCTCATAATGATTGTGATAACCGGTTTAGGCTGGGCCAGTTCAACCGAACCGGCCAGCCTTCTATTAATAGCCGCGACCCCAACAGAGGGACTGACTTTGCTGTTCGCGAAACAGGGAGAGGAGCGGACTGTCGGTTGCGTACGGGAGAGTGAGGTAAGTTCGTTTTTTTTTTCCAATTTTAACAATCGATCACGTTAAAGGATGAGAATAATCAACTCATTTTTCATTCCCTCAGTTAAAGGAGTGCTAATTTTGGAGAATTTACAACGAACGAGAGGAACGACCGAAAGGGGAAGAAGGAAGAAGTTTGTGGTATTTTTCTTTCCAAAATTTGTATAAATTCCCTTCTTTTATTTCATCTAAAGCAAACGATATTCCTTGAAGGAATAGAGGGGATTGAAATCAAGGAGAGAGAATTTTGGAAGAGGAAGAAGGATTATTGGGAGATTTGGAAAATACCATTGTAAGTAATTTCTGTTATGAAACTATTCTTAAGTTTTATTAGATAAAGCAAGTTCATGAAAACTTTATTGGTTGATGTTAGAGATTTGGAGAGAGGTTCGAGGTTGTTCCCTATGCCGAAGACTTGAAAGGTTCAAAGTGGGTAATTATAATTATGAAATTCAAAATTTAGTATTATTCTTTTGCCTTCAAAGTTTTATTTTAAAGACATAGGGAACAACCTATATGCTAATGTGTGAAATGTTGAAAAATTAAATGCCTAAATAGTTGTAAATATTATTGCAACAGAAAACGAAAGAATCAAGTAACATAAATGAAATTAAGTATATGAATGAAAAAGAATACATGCACGTATTAAGAAAATATGCAAACAAAGAAAATGACATATGAAAATGAAAAAATAAAAATGTTCAAGATAAATGAAAAAGAAAGGAAAATGATATGTATGAAAATTTCAGGAGTTCACCCCCTTATGGTACTGGCTGGGGACGCCATACTCGTGCACATAAAAAGGAAAAGGTCTTGGAAATGGAAAAGGAAATAACTGGAAAAGGTTATACCTTTGGGTACTTTAAGACGGTGCTCCTGTACAAATCAAATGAGAAAAAGGAAATATTAAAGTTTAAAGTGGTTAAAATGTTTTAAAAGAAAATGACCAGAGATGTATTACTGAAATGAATGAAATAATGTTAAGAAATGATATGATACATATAAAAGAATATTTATATTGATTGTTTTAAATAGTTAACCACTGAATTTACATTGTAAACTTAAACCCCTAAATTAATGTCTTAGGTAAATCTCCAAAGGAGAAGAAATGGCTGAAAGAGAAGAATTCGTCTATAGAAGACGACGTACAAATGACAACATGTAAAATAACTGATGAAAATGTTTAGTTTGGTTTTAGATTTATTAAAGTTTTCTTTGTGATTAGTGACTCTTCAGTTAATAGAACAGTTTATGTTGATAGTTATTATTATATTGATGGAAATGTAATATCTTTCGACTTTTCATACCCGCCTCGTTAGATTGAGCATTCGGCCGGGTCGTGACAATGATACATCAATGCTATTTATGAGAACTAATTTACTGCATATGTGGAGGCTTCACATTAGGGGGTGCTTGGTTATAATCCCGCCCCTAGTAGTTAGACATGTCCGGCGGCTAGGGATTTCAGAGAGCCGGATCTTCCTCTCAAATTGAAGATCCATTGTATCTTGTTTGTTTTCTTCCTTATATCATTAATTAAAAAGGTTTTTTCTCTAGTTACTCCTCTTAATTCTTCTTGGGGATTGTGTTTGGGGCTGCCGAAATTTAAATTTTAGCTAAGGAATAGTGTGGATTTCTACGAGCACTTCCTAACAAATTGGTATCAGAGTAGCTTCTTCCTCACTGATTTCTGCTACGTTTTCCTCTCCAATCTTGCAATTTTTATCTGTTTGGAGGCCAGATTCACATCAAAGTTGTTGTTTCTTACTATTGGAGTCTAAATCTTGGTACCTATGGAAGGAAGAAAGGTAAAAGTGTTAGAAGGGAAGATCAGACAATTGAAATTTCAAATCTCCAAACTCAATTTCAGATTTCAAGAGTCAAATTTCAGCCATCCACGAGAAGATTGATGGGGAATTTTCTATCATGGAGGAGATGTTGAAGAAGTTGCTCGAGGGCCAAATCAAAATGGCATAGTCAGAGGTGAGGGAAGCTGCTGGCCGCCAAGGAAGTGGTGAAAACCCTAATCCAATAAGGTGAAGGGAAGATCAAGAGATGGAGAATTTGGAGGGAGAAGAGAGAATGCCCCTCCTGGAGCCTATTCCTAGGGTGGAATCAGGTAGAGGATATGGGGAGAGACGTGAGGAGGTAGGGCATGAATGAAGGGGGGGGGGGGGGAATGGGGGGGGAGGGGGGGTGTGTGAATTTGAAATGAGAGGGGTTGATTATGATTGAAAGGGTGTTGAATTTGAAAGGAGAATGACTGATTATGATCCAAGTATTGCTGAATTTGAAATGCGAAGGTGAAAATTTGAGGAAAGGGTTGGGTATGCGCATATAAGGGATGATTGAGATACTTGGGTGGAACCACCGTCTTGGGGAATGAGAAATTATGAAGGAAATAGGGGGAACAAAGGAGATCTGAAGTTGAGGAAGCTGAAGATGTCTATTTTTGAGGGAGAGAATGCACATGAGTGGATCTATAGGGTGAAAATGTACTTTACTATCAATAGGTTGATGCAGGAGGAGAGATTGACGATATCCGGGATGTGCTTAGAAGGAAAAGCGTTGACATGGTACCAGTGGAGGGATATAAGATGACCCATGCATACCTGAAGGGAGTTTAAGGACTGCTTGCTGGAATGTTTCCGAACTAGCAGGGGAGGAGATTTCTATGAGCAGTTCTTCACCCTGATGCAGAAAGGGACAGTGGTGGAGTACCTTGCATGCATAGCATTTCAACCTTATATGGCATTCATGCCTTCACTACCTTTGCCTTGTTTCCTATGTGGTCAAGGTCAAACCCTAGTTGGGCTATCTCTTTGCATTTTCAGCCATTGGCCACGTATGTGTTGTCAACTTGCCTTTCATGACTTTAATTGCAATGACTACCCCTCCGTCTTACTGCAGTCAAAGTGGAGATATTTTAGTCTGAAACAAACTTAGGGGTTAATTCCCAAGAAAATAAATAAAGAGCATATTTCTCTAATTTTCTTTATTATGGGTCATATAAAGTCAAATATCCCAAATTTAATTACCCAACTTATCTAAAAGAGTTGCTTCCCCCTTAATCCTCAAACTGCACATCTTTTAGTTGAATGCCTAAAGTCATACATGTTTATTTATAAGATTTCCATTTTAATTAATTTTATTTACGTTGTGTATTTTTCTCTACACTAAAACTTAATCTCGTTAATTAATATTTTTTTTCTCGTTCAAATATATGGAATATACTTATTTAGTTATTATTTTATTCATCTACATGAACCATAATTACTGTTTGTAAGTCCTTAATTTAATGATTAACATATCATTACAATGGCTATTAACCTTCCTATTTTATTCCAAATATATATAATATACATTTGTTTGCTCCTTAAAATTTATTTAAATTATAAGTTAATATTTCTAGATTTTTTATAACATAAAAGCACGAAGTTAAAATAGGTTTTTTAATATTTTCTCATAAATTTTAGTTAACCAAATTATTTTAACTTCACTAAAATTTAGAATCGTTCAAGATATAGAAAGAAATATTTCTCATATGATAATATTTTAACTTTCTGATTTCATTAAATAAAATTCCTAAATTTCTGTTTTATGTACATACCTTGCCTCTTAACATTTGCAAATTACCAAAATATCTCCTCTTTTTTCTCTATTCCCCCTTTCCACAGCAGCACCCTAAACATTTCTTTGAAAATAGAAGCTAGGTTCATAAATGAAAATCTAAGTCAAAACTTTCCTCTAAGCTTATAGAAGGAAAAAGAAGAGAAATATTAGGCTTCAACATTGAACAATTATCACCCTACTCGGGTTTGGCCTGGTCACGCTCTACCTAATTGAGGTTGTTTTTCGTGCCAACCAATTTCCTCTACAATGTCTTTGTTTTTCACGCTTGCGTTTTGTTTCTCGCACTCTCCATATTGCTCCCCATCTCATATTCTCATGCTAAATCTCTCTCACTCCCTCCATCTCTCTTGCTCTCTTTCTCACTCCCCCTCTAACTCTCTCAAACTATCCTTTTTCATCTACTTAAATGGGGGTAATTGGGCCCCCTGTATCGGTTCATACCTATTATTATTATATTCATTTATTTTAAGTTATAGTCATTTAATATTTTACTCCCATAATTTTTTTGCAAATAATTTTATATCTTATAAATGTGTTATTTAAACAAATAGAATAATAGCTTATCAAGATTATATTTATCCATAAAAAAATAATCAATTGAA